TGAGAACAGCTCAGATTTGGGATATATTTTGACGAGCTACCAGGACCTGCTAATCAATTGGATGTGGCAGGAAGGGAAAGAGAAGAATTAAAGACATTAGGATTTTTGGCCTGAGGAACTTGGTAAACGGTGGGACCATTAAGTGAGATGGAAAGAACAGCTCTGCAGAGGCGGGCACATGTGTGAGTCCAGAGTTCTGTTTGGACATGTTAAGTGTGAGATGCCTACCAGAGAGCCCCATGGAAATGCATCAATTGTTCAAGATCCATATGGCAAAAGCTGCCAGCACTGGGACTCGGGTTTCTTTGAATCTAATTCAGGGTCTGTTCTCAGTGGTTCTCAAAGCACAACCCCTAAACCAGCAGCAGCACTTGGGAACTTGTTAGAAACTCAACTTCTCAGGTCCTACCCCAGACCTACTGAATCAGAAGCTGTGGAAGTGGGGCCTGGCAACGTATGTCTTCACGAGCCCTCATGAGTGAGAGGACCATTGCTCAGAATCATTTTCCTCACCACTAATGCACACGTGATAGCCACAGCTGCCCTGCATTAGGCTTCTCTGTGCCGCCACAAACACTCCGCCTAATTAACAATGCGTGGTGCGTTGTTTTTTTTTTTTTTCCTGCCCAGGACTCACTGAAGGCTTTCAACACACTATCAGTGAAAGTTTTTCAATTCCAGTTTCAGAAACTAAAGCAAGGGGAGAAAACAAAAATTGGAGCTACTATAATAGTAATTATCCTCTTACAATAACTAATATTATTGAGTACCTCCTAACCACTTGGTATGCATCAGCTCCTTTAATTCTCATAGTATTAATAGTTGTATAGGGCAGATACTCTGTTCCCATTTTATAAATGAGGAGACTGAGGCACAGAACGGTTAATTAACTTCCACAAGGTCACATAGCTAGAAAGTGGAAGAGCTGGGATTTGAACCCAGTCAGGTTCCAGAGCCTGAATTTTTAACCACAATGGTACAGATTGCCTCTTATCTTCCTAAGCATCAATACAATCACCATTTGATGTATTAAGCACATGAGGCTCTTGTAAATAACTGAGAGAACTTAAAAACATGTTTAATTCCATCAAGGTACCGTATGACCCAGCAATTGCACTTCTACTTATACACAAAAGAGTGGAAAACATATGTCCACTCAAAAACTGGTATATGAATGTTCATAGAAACATCATTCAGAGTAGCCAAAAAGTAAAAAACCCAAATTGCCATCAGCTGATGAATGGATAAATAACATGTGGTATATATACATGATGAAATATTACTGTCATAAAATGAAGTACTGACACATAATACAACATGGATGAACCTGAAAGCATGCTTAGTGAAAGAAGGCAGTCACAAAAGGCCTCTCATATCATATTACTCCATTTATATGAAATGTCCAGAATAGGTAAATCCATAGGAGCAGAAAGTAGAATAGTAGTTACGAGGGTCTGGAGGAGAGGGACTGGGAAGGGACTGCTAATGTACTCTAATGGATGGAGAGTTTCTCTCTGGAATATCGAAAATGTTCTGAAATGTGTGGAGATGACTGCATAAAACACCTATACTGTAGACGAATATACTAAATACCATCGAATTGTACACATCAAAAGGGTGAACTTTACAGTATGTGAATTATATCTCAATAAAGCTGTTCTTTTAAAGAAGAATGTTTCATTCATTTTCAACTTAGGCTATTTTATTTAATAAAATTCCTATTTGTTGTCACTAAGGTCACTGGATCATGATCAAAGAAATTGAAATTAACCTGCCATCGCTTTGATTTTTTAAACTTTCAATTTGCAAAAAAGAGTAAACTAGTTTCAATTCTAAGTTTCAATGAACCTAGTACAGTCATTTGTGTCATTTCTCCGCTCAGGAAAAAGTTTTCTTCTGTAAGACTTCAAAAATACAGGCGCAAAAGTTCTATTCTTGAGAAAATGC